ACACTTGAATGCATGTCACAGGCTTCTTCACAACACATGGTTTTCATGAGCACTGGATTATTGTGCCAATATCCAAGCAGAGGAATTCCTTGGCTCATGAATATTAATCAAGTCTCATTCTACTCACAACTAATTGGCTGAAGTGCAGATGGTAGTAAATTGGCACTGGTTGGAAAGTCAGTTAAGTAATGTTACTATGGTGAAGGCTTGGTTCATTAAGATTAATTGGGACCATTCCGAGAAGGTTACAAAGCAACGTCAGCGTGACCTAATCAATATTCATGAAGCCTTTTTCTTATATAGAGGATTCATAAATTGGCCCCATGACGGCTGGAGGAATGCATGCATGTTAGTTATATGATGTCCGATTTATTTTTGTGAACTGAATAGTTTAAAAAGAAGATGTCAGTGATTTACCTGGCCGCTGACCCTAATATGGCTTTAAACTCTTGCTGAAAAATTCTAATCATGCATTTCATGTGTCCCATTTTAGTGTCTTGTTATTTCTGATCATGCTATTATACTCAAATCAAGCTATTATAATTTATATAATAATGTATACAACTTCATTCACTAAATGCTATTTAGTTCAACCAGTTCTGATTCATGTGTACAAGTTCCAACTAAATTATTCTCCTAAAATTAGATTTTTTTTCTCAAGCTCCTATGTATAAGTTGAGTAATTCCCCTTTTATGTCAATTAATACAGTGACGTTTTGGTGCAGTAGGTAGTGCTGTTGCCTCACACCAAGAAGGTTGCTGGTTTGATCCCTGGCTGGGTCAGTTGGCATTTCTGTGTGCATGTTTTCCCCGTGTTCACGTGTGTTTCCTCCGGGTGCTCTGGTTTCCCCCATAGTCCAAAGACATGCAGTATGTGAATTGAATAAGTTAAATTGTCCGTAGTGTATGAGTGTGAATGAGTGTGTATGGATGTTTCCCAGAGACGGGTTGCAGCTGGAAGGGCATACGCTGCATAAAACATATGCTGGATAAGTTGGCGGTTCATTCCGCTGTGGCAACCCCAGATTAATAAAGGGACTAAGCAGAAAAGAAAATGAATGAATGAATGAATGAATGAATGTCAATTAATACATTCTTTTCATTGCCTTTAATGTGAAATTAATAAAATTAAACATAAATACAATTAGGATCATAGCCTTGAAGGGACAGTGTCAAAAAGTTCATTCATTCATTCATTTTCTTGTTGGCTTAGTCCCTTTATTAATCTGGGGTTGCCACAGCGGAATGAACAAATAATATATACCGTTTAAAAACATAAATAAAAGTGTGTCAGAAAAATGCTCACTTTAGAAGTAAATTTCAGAGGTTTTTGCATCTGAACTTTTCATGTCCTTCAATTACAAAATTCCCAGCCATTCCAGTCATTCATGTTTGATTTTCTCTGCAGCACAAAAGATGTTTTGAGAAAATTCTGCGTTTTATTAACAGTGTTTACTTATTCATTAATTCCTAAAATAGTACATTTTTTACTTATTTATAAATTCTTAGAAATTAAAACTAACTTGGTTACTATTTATTGGTTACTAATATTCTTCAATATATATATATTAAGGGTGTCACGATCCTCCAAAGTCTCGATTCGATTACATTTTCGATTCTAAAGGCACGATTCGATTCGATTTTCAATTATGAATAATTAATTAATTAATGACCAATTAATTATTTGTAGCCTACCGTTTAAACTACCTGACCTGCATGGTCTTTGTTTTACCCATAAACAAATCATACAGTAAATGAATAAAGGCAAGATACACACATAATTACCACCTGTCAATCACTTTTTCTACGGGACTCGTGAATAGGCAGTGATCTGTGTCGTTATAATGGCGTCGGTAAAAAAAGATGCACAACCAACAGGAACCAGCCAACAGTATCTGAGGTGTTCGCTAAAATGACTAAGTACAAGTGAGTGAAAGATTAAAGCAGTTCTCTGACTGCCTGGACCTGCTGTCTCGAGCGCATGGCTGTGTGTGCGTTTGTGTCTGTGTGGTCACGTGATGTGCATTTTCAGAGGTAGAGAGGAAGGAGGGCTGCTCAGAAATGCTACACGCCACTGTGGATGTCAAATCGTTGTCGTTCTAAAATGCCATTTAAAGACAAAGACAGTGTAAACAGGGCCTGAGTGTGTACTTTTCGCGAGCGGATTTGCAACGGGGGCGGGCGGAGGATCGCGATGCCGGTGTTGTCTATCGGACGAACCGTAGGTAATACGTACATAGCAGAGCTTGCAAAACTGTGTTTTTTTGTCAACAACACGAACGTTGTCAACATAACTCACTTGAAATCCAAAATGCTTACACACCGCCGACTTCATTGAAAGAGGAGAGGGTTTAAGTTCTGTCGACGGGTCTCCTGCTTCTGCAGTTTAACAAGCACTTCAACAAGCCTGTTTTTTTCCCGCTTGGCAAGCCAAGCTGACGTGACATGGGGGCGTGGCAGCATCGACGATTCTATTTTTTGATTCGATAATCGAAATTGAGCATAAATTTCGATCAAAATTTCACAGAAGAAATAAAGTCTTAGAGGTTCGGAAGAACATCCTATTGAGTAATGATGACAAAATATATATAATTTCTGGGTGAACTAGCCTATATTTAAAGAATTTAAAACAATGAATTCCTGTTTTAATATGTTATAAATGTAATTAGTTCTGTTGTGGCAAGACTGAAAATTAGAACAATTAGAATTGAAAAATTCTATAGTATTTGTTTAATCATAGATCTATAAAGGTCTGTGGTTACAGTAATATCTTTTTTGGTGTTGTTCAGCACCAAGAAACTCAAAGGTTTAAAACCACTTGAGGCTGAGTAAAAAGTGAGTAAATTTTCATTTTTATTACAAACTATTCCTTTAATTTAAAATTTAAGACACAATCAGAACCGCACATTCACTCATTTTGGTTTAGAAAATTAATTTAAATCCAATATAAAACCAGTGTTGTCAACCTAGCAGCTTTTCAGACTACGCTAGCAACCTTAATGGTATAAATTTTAAAATAATTATAAAATAAACAATCAAGAAATAAATTTAGCTTTTTTAGACAACTTAGTGTTTCACAATATATAAAAGTTAACTTATCAACTTTAAATATATTAAAGTTGACCAGGTACAACAGTTACAGTAGAGTCATTTGTGTTTAACCACAATAAAGTGAAAGTTTATCAATTGCCTGTATTTTTAAGGCCTGTGTAAACATTTTAAGCAAGGTTAAAGCAATTGGAAGGAAATATTACTACTGCAGTTTTAACAAAGATCAATTGTACACAATGAAGAGTATATACAGCTTGATACGTTTGATTATTTTACTTCTGTATTGTTTGTGTATTTGCTCTATTTATCTCTGCTTATAATTTGTTGATTATTTTTATGCACTACCCTACAACATCATCCCAACCAATCTAAAATCGCAGAAAGTTTAAACATTGCAATGCATGTTTTTTTTTTAATTGTGCAGCCCTAACTTTAAGTAACTTTTAAATAAATTACACAAAAAGGAGGAAACCACTGAACAACTAGTTAAAGATAGAGTTGCTTGTAGTACCCACATTAAATGTGCATTAAGTGATGAAATCAATAATTTTAAGACATCTAGTTATTCGCTAGTACCAATAACTGTTGATCAATTATAGATGCACTCTAGGAAAAAATAAACTGAAAGTACCGGTTATTTTCTGCCAGGACCCTATCTGTTATACTGACATAAATAGTAAATTCAGAAACATTAATTCATATTAGCACCATACTGTACACTCTAAAAAACGTTGAGTTATTTATTTAACCCAATGGTTAAGTTAAAAATATTTGGTGCTTTGATGGGTTATTTTTTAACCTTTATTGGGTTATTTATTTAATAACTCAACCAGTTGGATTCAAAATGAAGAATTTTAACAGTCATCTGATTTAATTGGCACAGAACAGCTGTATTATTATCCGTACATAATGTTGTTTTTGCATTATAAAGCTAATTAAAGCTCTAATGCAATAATGTTGTATTTATTATCAAATTAGCTCTCCGTGTCGTGTGTTTTATATCCGTTTCACCAGCACTCCTAATTGTTGATGCTACCAACGCGCAGTATAGCTGATCAATATTAAACTGATTAAAAGTCTTAAGTGTCTGGAACTTAAAATGTAATGGAAATAAAGCATTTTCTATATTTTTGAAAACTGTATGTTATTTGTTTACACAGCTATACTTATAAAATTAATAGTGGTACTAGTAGTAGCAGGAATAGTAATACCAGAATAAAAAAAATAACATTTAGACAAAATAACCCAATGTATTGGGTAAAATTTTATAACCAAAAGCACTGGGTTAAAATAAAAAATAGTTGGGAAGGTGCTATAATAACCTACAGTTGGGTGATATGTTGGTTTTTTTTTTTTAACCCAAGTACTTTAACGAAGTACACAATTTTTATGCCTGTCATTTCATTACCCACTTTTCTGAGAGTGTTATATTTAACTTTCATTAAAATGCAAAAAAATACTATAATTCACAGCATAAAGTTTAACCGTAGCAGTTAATGAGAAACCTACAATTTGAGTTCAAACACATTCAATCATCTGACATTTTATTTTAAAATAATGTAAAAAAAAAGAATCTATGTAACGTATGACATATATGCAAAATGTAAAAGTTAAAAAGCACTAATAAAAAAACTATTCAACTTTTTTTCCTTGAAATATTCAAGATCCTGTAATCCTACAAGGCCCCTTAGTATATATATGTACACATATATTTGATTATCTTATTTATATTTCGTTTGATTGTACACCCCTGACCCTGTTTTTCTTTTTTTACTTTATTTATTTTGTATTAGTATTGTTCTGTACATTATTCCTTAAGCATTAATAATAATAAAACATATTTTTGCAACAAATCGACATGATACTTTCCCGAAATTATATCCTTAAGGGGAATGTCTGAAAATATAAGCAACTTTACCCCAATGATAAATAAAGCCCGGACACTTTACCTGGCGGTGTTAAGCAGAGGGTGTTTCGTCCCCACCAGCTTCCTGACATGCATGGCCACATTACTGAGCTCGTCACTGAGCAAACAGCGTAAACTCATGAATGAAGTCGGATATCCTACAATCTTCTCCGCATCGGACACCACTTTAGTCCAGCTGGAGGGAGACGGGTTCGAGAAAATACTCAGATGCCTCAGCCCAAAGTAAGACAATCGTGACCTCCAAGCCATTTTAAAACTAATACAATTGAAATACCACTTATTTAAACGCCTGAATGTTCATTGAAACGTTCAGATAAGTTCACAAAAAGATCTGACTCTGTCTTTCACTTATTTGGAGTCATATCCAGCAGTATCTGTGCTCCCCAATGTCACCTCCTTACTGAAGTAAACATCTCCTTCTCTCTTGTTCTTCTGCAAATAAGTCACTTCTGCTGATTGAGCGATAGTCACCGGTTGATGTAAGTACGTTATTCGAAAACGACAGTCCTTGCTTTTAATTAAGTGTCCAGTTTTATGAACTCACGTTTGACAGCTGCACCGGGTCGCCATTTTCTACGAATCAGTTTGCGGCTTGTCGTAAAGACTGAATGATTAACCCATTCGTCACCAAAAACACTTGATTATTTATTTTTTGGATTTATTCGTATTAACAGTAAATGCTCTCTGGGGCTTATATTAAAGTTCATTTATTTGATAATAAATTCTCTGCAAGGACCTAATGACAATGAACACTGAATGTGTAAATGTAACACTGTAATACTGAATATTTGTATTTATTTTTCTTTATTTGCTGATTAATGGATGGTATTAAAAAGATACTTTGAAATGATTATGCCCAATAAATGCCATATATTTTGAAAAGTACGACATTGTGAGGAACAAAAACAGAAATATATTGTATTTAAAATTCTTCATTAACCCTTTACGCTGTGAAAACTCTTTTAAGAAAAAGTGGCTCATACTTAATTAGATTTTTAATAGTTTGAAGTGCTTTAAATATATTGAAATCACTCCATACAATAACAGATAAAGTACTTGCAGCTCAAAATTTGTTTTTATTAAATTACAAGATGAATTAATGTGCCGTTTCCTGTGGTGTAAAGTACTTGAGTAAATGGACTTTGTTACTTCACTTAAGTATTTTTTTTTTTTTTTTGGCTACTTTGTACTTGTACTGAGTATCTAAAATATAAGCAACTTTTACTCTCTACTTGACTACATTTTAGATTGAAAACATGTACCCTTTACTCCACTACATTTGAACAGACTCTTATCGTTACTCATTACATTGTGATTGTGCACGACAGGTCGGTATCTATATGCAGTGTGCAGGATGCAGTGTCTACTTTGTTTGCCATGAACCACGAAAATAAGTGCTTTAAGAATTCATCCTCAAATGTGAGAAAACACATTGAGGTAAGAGTCTAATATGAATTTAATGTGAATTTAGTCAAATTATGTCTGACTTTATAATAGTATTATAAGCATAATGTTACCATAAGGTAATACTGTTACTAATAGGGCAAAAACCACTGTGACATGACATGACTATATTGTAGCTTAACTAGCAGTGGTATGCTAATTAGTATAGTTAAGTAAAAATAATGCCCCCCTCTGCATGGTCCGGTATAAGACTCTGACGGTATGATAACCTTGGATAAAAATATCACGGTTTCACAGTAAAGGGATTGCTGCTCTAAAATATGTTCTTTTTAAATGTCTGGGTAAAAACAAACAAACAAACAAAAAAATCCCTTTTAAACACAATATAATTTATTTTGAGAAACATTTTTAATGTTTTGGAGCAGTAAACGTGTCAGGCTAAACTAATTATTGACTTTTGCGGTGTTCATTAAATTTTAATTGAATTTAAAACAGATTTTTTTTCTGCTGAGATATTGCTGTCCTAAAAACAAAACAAACAAACAAAAAAAAAACCTAAATAATAAATCCTACGCATACCTTACGGTATCAGAGAAAAGTTTAACGTTTTAAACCTTGACTTTTCCAAACAAAAGTATACCTTTAAAACGGTAATTGTCCCATGCCTACCTCTGAGACTGAGAGGTAAATCTCTCAGAAAAATGAGAAAATCTTAAATTAAAATATTGATTTCAAATAACTACAATAACACTGATATTTTATCAATATTTCAGAAACCAAATTTAACATTACCAGAATTAAATTTTACACATTACGTCAAAGTCAGTTCTGAATTTTGTTTTACTACTTCTTTTTTTTTTTTTTTTTGAAAAATTGTGCCTTTTTTGGACATTTGAGTTTGACTGAAACTTTTTGTTCTATTTTTTAATCTATTTTGCTCTGGCATTTTGAAACATTGAGGTGTTAAATTTAATTTCTATATCAGGAAATAAAACCTTTCTTGGTGTTCTTTTAGCTTACATTCAGTACGAGTAAAATACTTAAGTAGTTTTAAAATCAGATACTTTAATACTTTTACTCAAGTCTAATTGAAATTGGTCACTTGTAACTTGTAATGGAGTCTTTATAACAGTAAGGTATCTGTACTTTTACTCAAGTATGGTTTTCAGGTACTCTTTCCACCTTTGGCCGTTTCAAAATTCAAAAAATGTTGATCAAATTCACTTTGCAAAACTTTTGCAGCAATAAAATTTCTCAGTCAGAGATCAATTTCCCATGATGTAATCTGATAGTGGGGCATCACAGTGGGGCAGTACGATCGCCTCACAGCAAGAAGGTCACTGGTTCGAGCATCGGCTGGGTCAGTTGGCATTTCTGTGTGGAGTTTGCATGTTCTCTCTGTGTTTGGTCTCTCATGGTCTCTCTGGGTTTTCTCTGGGTGCTTCAGTTTCTCCCACAGTCCAAAGACAAGCGGTACAGGTAAATTGGGAAGGCTAAATTGTTCGTAGTATGTGTGTAAATGGATGTATTTTAGTGATAATCATCCGCTGTGTAAAACATATGCTGGATAAGTTGGTGGTTCATTCCGCTGTGGCGACCCCAAATTAATAAAGGGACTAAGCTGAAAAGAAAAAGACAGAAATGTAATCTGATAGTGTAAATACATAGAAAAATACCCATGAATCAAAAACTCAACTGAAGAAAAATGTACACAGTTAAAGTCAGAATTATTAGCCTCCCTTTATTTTTTATTTATTTTTTATAAATATTTCCCAAATGATGCTTACCAGAGCAAGGACATTTTCACAGTATGTCTGATAATATTTTTTCTTCTGGAGAAAGTCGTATTTGTTTTATTTGTGTCTTGAAAAATATCTAGTCAAATATTATTTACTGCAACCATGGCAAAGATAAAATAAATCAGTTATTAGAAATGAGTTATTAAAACTTTTATAATTAAAAATGTGCTGAAAAAAATCTTCCCTTCGTTAAACAGAAATTGGGGAAAAAATAAACAGGGGGGCTAATAATTCTGACTTCAACTGTATATATAAATTATATATAAATTAGAATAGAGTAGAACAGAACGGAATAGAATAGAATAGAATAGAATAGAATAAAATAGACTTGCACAGAACAGAATAGAGTAGAGTAGAACAGAACAGAAAGGAACAGAACAGAATAGAACAGAACAGAATGGAGTATAATAGAACAAAGTATAATAGAATAGAATAGAATAGAATAGAATAGAATAGAATAGAATAGAATAGAATAGAATAGAATAGAATAGAAAGGAGCAGAACAGAGCAGAATAGAATAGAGTAGAACAGAATAGAATGGAACAGAATAGAATAGAGTTAAACAGAATAAAGTAAAACAGAATAGAATATAATAATAGAATGGAATAGAATAGAATAAAGTAGAACAGAATAGAATAGAACAGAACAGAATAGAATAGAGTTAAACAGAATAAAGTAAAACAGAATATAATATAATAATAGAATGGGATAGAATAGAATAAAGTAGAACAGAATAGAATAGAACAGAACAGAATAGAATAGAGTTAAACAGAATAAAGTAAAACAGAATAGAATATAACAATATAATGGAATAGAATGAAGTAGAACAGAATAGAATAGAACAGAACAGAATAGAACAGAATAGAATATAATAGAACAGAATAGAGTAGAGAGTAAAGTAGAATAGAACAGAACATAATAGAATAGAACAGAATAGAGTAGAACAGAACAGTACAGAATAGAATAGAAAAGAATAGAATAGAATAGAATAGAATAGAATAGAATAGAATAGAATAGAATAGAATAGAATAGAATAAAACAGAACAGAACAGAACAGAACAGAATTGAACAGAAAGGAACAGAACAGAATATAATAGAATGGAATATTATAAAATAAAGTAGAAAAAAAATAGAATAGGGCATAGAATAGGACAGAACAGAACAGAATAGATGTAATCCACGTCAGTGCTGTTTGTTTTTCATTGATCATCATTATACATCATCAACACACCAGATACTAAAATGTTGTAATATACTGTAATTTGGATAATATCTTCTTTACCTTGGAAGGTTGGCTTGTGTGACAGATACATTTGTTTCACAATACTGCACGTTTGATTACACTCACAGCCTTTGATAACAACAATAAAAATAATAATAATAACAATAAAACTGAACAACAATAAAAATGAAACTGTAGCGCAGTTTTCTTCCCTTTCAAACCAAGTCTGATAGTGTTTTATTATTTCCTGTCATCATTTCCTGCCTGTTGTCCACGGCCCTATTAGAACAGACCTGCGACCCATTTTTTTTGGTTGTGACCCACCGGTTGAGAAACACTTCTCTGTATTGCATGTCACTGAGTGATTATTCTGGATTTGTGATAATCCCCATATTGAGCTCATGCCAGTCAAATGAATCCCATGGGATAACAGAGTTAACTTCAGCTGTATCAACTGCTAAAAGCCAGGGGGAATTTCACTTAAGTGCAAGATCCTTAATGATGTCAAAAGCTACATTTTACACAACCTGAATTGTGTAAATGTAAGCCAGTGTTTTTTTTTTTTTTTTTCACTGCCGTATATTGTTGGCACTTTCATGTTTTTGCTCAAACCTAGCAGAGATGGCAAGTCTCTATTATGGCCACAATGTTACCACTCAGACAAAAGATAGTTTTCAGGGTTACTGAGTTTGAAGCAGAAAGGAATTGGCATTGTTACTGTATCACATATTTCTTTATGATGATGCTTTTGGGTCACCACAGAGGAATGAACCCACAATTACTCCTGCACATGTTTTAGTTGTGGGTACCCTTTATGCCACAACCCAGCCCTGAGAAAGTGCTTTATTTTATAAGCGTTTGACAATATTAAGATCATTAGCTCTATTGTTTCAAAATAATTTATAGACCATTTCAGTGTGGTCATGTCATTGGCCCATGAACATTTCCTGTTTGTTGTCAAACCATTTTATAACTTTAACAAGAGGCAACTCAAGTCGACATAACATTATTTATAAAAATGTGGACCTTTTTGGACTCTCGGAAGCTATGAAAATTAAAAAATGTAAAACATGAAATATGTTGGGACCATTGCCTTTGTTTACATCTTTCACAATGGTCTTGTAAATTTGTGCTGCCA